ATCTTCCATAACTGTAAGAAAATAAACTTTTGAAGCCAACAACTCATAGTATGGGAGCTCTAGTGGCGTAGTGTCTAAAGCATTTGACTGCTAACCAGAAGGCTGTTGGTTCAAACCCACCAGCCACTCCTTGGAAGGAAGATTGGACAACCTACTTCTGTAGTCTACTTCTATAGTGATACTGCCTTGGAAACCCAAGGAGGGGTCGCAATGAGTCGGATCCGACTTGACGGCAGTGAGTTTGTTTTTTGGTTTCAGTCATAGTATATTGTATCTGTTATAAAAGCACTAGATAACAAAACATCTGGGTTTAGAATAAGGTTTGCTCTGGCACCAAATGGCTGCCATTTGAAACGACATTTGTTCTTTATTACTTTTGTCTTCCTACTTGCTGTCAGCATTTTTTTTTTTTTCCTGGCTGGCTTCCACCTGCCTGGCTGAGGGTTCTCTTTATTTTCTAATCTGAGACTTTTTCTTGCCATTTGTCTGTTGAGGAAACCAGACCAATTGTCCTGTAGAGTTTTCCACATTCTGGAAATAGTATCATTTAACATGTTTCTCTATGCTAAGTATTTCTTATGAATTGGTAGTGTAATCCTATTGAGAGTCAGATTTGCTATTGTTTCCAAGAATATAGGTGGTACTATAGATGGTACAGTGGTTAAAACATTTGACTGCTATCCAAAAGACAGCTGGGTTGAACTCACAAGCTGCTCCGCAGGAGAAATATGAGGCAGTCTGCTTCTGTAAAGATTTACAGCCATGGAAGCCCTATGAGGCAGTGCTACTCTGTTCTAAAGGATCTCTATGAGTCTGAATTGACTGGATGGCAGTTGGTTTGTGAATTGGTTCTGTATACTTCCTATTATGCCACATCAGAGGACATGTAGTTCCTGGCTCTCATTTGTTTTGTGATATTTAAGATTAATCAATAAGATCAGGTGTTGTCATTGTGGTCTAGCTATTATAAAGTTTCCTATCAGTCCTTCATATTGGTTTTAGAAGCCACTGATTGTTAATGCTTAGGTACACTTTTTCACTTGATGTTCAAAGTGATGATATTCCAATTTTATCATTGCTTATGTGTTTATTAGGAGCTTTGGTAGTGTAGTGCTTAAGGTACTTGACTGCTAACCAGAAGGCTGGTGGTTCAAACCCACCAGCCACTCCTTGGAAGGAAGGTTGGGCAGTCTACTTCTGTGGTGGTATCGCCTCAGAATCCCAAGGAGGGGTCACTATGAGTCGGATTTGACTTGGCAACAGTGCTTTTTTTTTTTTTGGTTTATGTGTTTATTAGTTAGAATTCTTACTGGAAGAAGAGCTTTTCCACATCAGCTCTATGATTTCCCTGATATATAGTTTGTATGTTGTTGTTGTTATGTGCCATCGAGTCATCTCTGACTCATAGCGACCCCTCCTTGGGTTTCCGAGGCAGTATCACTACGGAAGTAGATTGCCCAACCTTCCTTCTGAGGAGTGGCTCTTGGGTTTGAGCCGCCAGCCTTCTGGTTAGCAGTCAGTACCTTAGGCCCTATGCCACCAGAGCTCTCATAGTTTATATGTTGTTGTTGTTATGTGCTGTCGAGTCGGCCCCGACTCACAGCGACCCCTCCTTGGGTTTCCAAGGCAGTATCACTACGGAAGTAGGATTGCCCAACCTTCCTTCCGAGGAGTGGCTGGTGGATTTGAACCGCCAGCCTCCTGGTTAGCAGTCAAGCGCCTTAGGCACTGTGCTACCAGAGCTCCTATAGTTTATATAGGAAAGGTAAATTAAATGTTTGATCTTCTCTCTTAATTTATTGGTTTCCAGAATTAAGAGTTGGTATTCCAGAATCCTCCAGGGATGATCTTTACTTTTTTTTTTTTAGCATCTTCATAAACCCATGGGTTTTAAAAATACTTGACATATTTATATTCTTTGCAGATATTATAATTTTGGTGCTCAAATCATAACATCTTTCACCAAGAGGAGCCCTAATTTGAGGCTTCTAGCCTACATGGAAAAGATGGCCAATAAGTTCAACTCACCTGTTGTCTTCCAGTAATTGACATTGGTGACCTTGAATGCTACCTTAGGGCTACGACTGAGCTCAACAAGAAAGAACATTCATATCATGTAGCTCATGTAGCTACAAATGGCATTTGGGTGTCAGGGGGTGGGGTTGAGGGTGGTGATAATGGGAGTGGAGGTATACATACCTCGTATTTATTTTCCATCCTCACTCTGCGGGCTGGCCAAACGTGTCAGAAATGGATCTAAAACTAAGAAGAGATTGAGAGTGGACCTGAAAAGTCCTTCCAAGAGTAAAAAAAGAAAAAATTATTTTTTACCACTCAGAGGCTGTTTGTGTATTTTCTGATTCTTAGAGGATTTTAGATGGATAAGGACACCAAGCAGCTGAATTCTAAAACTGTAATTAGGGATTCCAATGTAAGAGATTCTTATATTTTCTTCCTTGTATTTCCATGAACAGAGAAGAATGCACTGCCCTATTAGTAGTGAGGGAACTCTGTAAAGAAGCTGAGGTAGTCATTCAGAGAACTCACTAATGAGAAAGAAAATAAACAAATGAAATAGGAATATAGCTGTGGATTTACATTTTCCTCTCACTAGCTATGTGTTCCTTGACAGGGCATTATTTCCTGTTCTGCACAATGGGAAGATTATGCTTCCTTTGCGTACCTCAGCGACTTGTTAGGAAAATTCAAATGTGATAATGTATATGCTTTATAAGGTGCTATTAAACTTTTTTATTGTTATGTGACAGATATTAGGGGTGTTGGTTAGTTACAAGAATGATAAGGTGAATGGATTCAAATAAAAAGGAACAAAAAGACTTTGTTGATGAGCTAAATCTCACACTAGATTCAAGGTAGAGAAAAGATCATCAGTGGAGAAAAGCCAAGATAGGGGATTCCATGTGTGATGTTTCAAAACTGGGCTGAGTAAAACCTGTAGATTGACTTGGCTGTAGTAAAGTCCATGAGTGCCTGTGTGTTAGAGTCAGGCAGTTACTGAGGGTACAGTCTGTGGTGGACATTAAACTCTAGAGATTAGGAGCTTTAATTTGATCTCAGAGATAATTAAGCCCCACTGGCATTTTCTGGGAAGGGGTGTTACCTGAGGTCAGCAGCTGTGTGCTGAGCTCTACTTCAGCCTATTTGAAGCTAAAGATCAACAGAAGATTAGGGAGATTAAATAAAAATATAACCCTCAATCCTTTGTGTTTTGCCACTTCCTACAATGACCTTTTAAAGTGTTTAGTGTCTGAATTCAGGTCACGTCATGAGCACAACCATTCAGAGAACAGTGATTGCTTTCCTGTTTATATTTATCATCAATGAGTGACTTATACTGTCAATGATTATCATTAAAACCGTCAGTAGCTTGGGCAGTATACGGACAGTTTGCATTCTAACTCTAAGATTGACTGGAAACTCAAGTAAAAGCCAAGCAGGGAATTAGGTTGCAGGTGATATTCCCCACTTGTTAGTTGTCGTCAAGTAAATTCTGACTCATGGTGACCTCATGCTCATGTGTGTACAGCAGAACTGCTCCATAGGGTTTCCAAGACTGTGACTTTTCAGAAGCAGATTCGCAGGCCTATCTTCTGAAGTACCTCTGAGTGGGTTCAAACCACCAACGTTTTCACTAGTAGTCGAGTGTTTAACCATTTGTGCCATCCAGGGACTCCTTTTATCCCATTGTGTTTTACAAAGGTCCTGTCATTGTTCCAATGGGAAAACGTCAGAAAAGATACTAAAGGAGAAAAAGAGACAAAATCTTATTTATTTTTTAAAATGAGCTATGTGTGTTAACAGTTTAGCTCTTGACACTGACTCTGTGAAACAAAGACAACAAATTGGCCTTTTGTGGTTCAATATATTTACCTAATAGCTCTGGTAGCATAGTCCCTAAGGCACTTGACTGCTACCCAGAAGGCTGGCGGTTCAAACCCACCAGCCACTCCTCGGAAGGAAGATGGGGCAATCTACTTCTGTAGTGATACTGCCTCGGAAACCCAAGGAGGGGTCGCTATGAGTTGAGACTGACTTGATGGCACATAACAACAACAATACAACATAAGCATCCTCTTCACTGAGCAGATTTTACTATTTATCCTGGGATATTTTATAAAACATGGAATGACGACAGCAGTAAACCCAGAAATTTGGGGCTAACATATGGGAATGGTATATGTTAAGTCTCAAATGTGTTGTTCTTTAAATAAGGATCCTAAAAATAGCTAAATATTACATAGAAATGACATATAAATACTAAAGAAAATATTTCTCTTAGGTTTGAGGCTTTGAGGCTTTTTGGTTTCTTAAACAGGTATTTCATTTCTATAATTTTTGCTTTTTTTTTTCTTGATCAATAAGGAAGGAAGATGGGGCACTCTACTTCCATATTGATACTGCCTCAGAAACCCAAGGAGGGGTCGCTATGAGTCTGGTCCGACTCGATGGCACATAACAACAACAGCAACAAATCAGAAATGGAGGGTAAATGGGAAATTAGAACTTAAAGGCTACTAAGTATCTATTTGGGGACATGAAAAACATTTGTAAATGGAAACTGGTGAAAGTTATACACAGAGTGGATGAAATGAACATCACTGAATTGTACACTTAAAATAAAATAGTTAAAAAGGCAAATGTTTTGTGATACATATTTTACCACAATAAAAGTAGATCAGAATGAAAAAGCTACTAAATTGTGCTTAGTGTTTGGAACACAAGGAATGACATCTCCTGCTAATTTGGGTGCCCTTGTTCTGAGAACTTTTACAGGAGCAATACAAGTAGATAAATAAATGGGATAATGCTAGAGAATCTGAGTTAATGTTGTCTGACTCTAGAAGGATGTCACCACCATGAAAGATAATACCACTACTGAGGTCATAGGGAGATTAGCTTTCTTAAGAACCATGAAGGGATCAAGGATTGTTCCCTGTCAAAACATATCTGCACTCCAAATAAATCATCTTCTCTTTTAGATCAGGAACTTTGCAAACTGAAGAAAGGAACCTGCAGAGGCAGTGTGTGTGGGCAAGACCCCAAATCCCATGTGTGCACATGTGCTGAGGGATATACTTTAAGCCAAGACAGGAAGTACTGTGAAGGTAATATGCAGATCGTTGGGTAAGGAAAGCTCACCTGAGCACTGGTTTGTTTTCTGTGGACCAATTAGAGCCTCAATGTGAAACCAATGTCAAGTTACACTCTTTATTTTTATTTTTCCCCCCCGGATAAACAGCTTTAATTTTTTCTTCTGCTTTTAAAGACTTGATAATCCTCTCAGATCATTTTTGTATCTTGGGTTCCTAGATCAAACACTCTCAGAGATGCTCAGGGGTTGATATAAAGCAGGAATATTCTGAGTGGGCTCTATGGACCTCTGTGGTTTCATTTTGTGCAAATTTCAGTATATGCACATTTGTCAGGGAAGTGGCTCCATCGCTGTCATAAGATTCTCAAATACTATGTGACCCTCACTTCTTATCCCTGCAAAGTCTATGAGGAATCTTGAGAAACTGAACCATGGCTTCTCCTGTATTGACATTTAAGGCCTAATTTGATCATCCTGTGAGAAACACTGTACCATCTTTCCTGGGAGGTTCAGCATCTAGTGATAAAAATAACCCAGTGGTTGTAGCAAACATTCAGTGGAATTAGTTGGGATGAGACCTCAGGTAAATCTAGACATCTGCCTTGTTAGTATGGAAGGAAGACTGAGCAATCTACTTTCGTAAAGATTTACCACCTTAGAAACTCAAAGGGGGTCACTGTGAGTCAGAATTGACTTGATGGCAGTGAGTTTGGTTTGGTTTTTGGTCTGCCTTGTTGTTGTTGTTATGTGCCGTCGAGTCAAACCCGACTCATAGCGACCCCTCCTTGGGTTTCC